AATATTCTCAGATTAAAAGTATAAACTTGTTGATGTACAAAATCATGCAGTATTGTTCCAGAACAGACCACCTGAGAGACTTAAGTCATGAAACAGATGTAATTGATATTATTACTGGTACCTGTACTGGAAGACTCTCTTTCATGGTCATTCTCTCTGGAAGAAATAATTCTATCCATTACAGTGGGTCGTGTGGAATAATCATCTCCCTCGTCCCAACCTGGATACACCAGTGGGTGGTCTTGTGCTGAGTCATTCTGTTTGGCTCCATAACTGGAGGCCATAGCTGTTATGATGATGGTGAAGCAATTATCAACTCAGTATATAAAGATCCATTTGTCATATTATTCTCCTCTTCGGTTCTTGTCTCTATGACAGGGCTTGCTCACATGTCTACTACATTTAATGGCAAAGAGAAGTAAAGCAGATTTGCTTCTCATTCTGGTTCATATTTACAAAAGCTGTGTACTGTCACCAGTAGGACTGAATTCTTCCTCAAACTGAGCATATACTTTGCAGAATTAAAATTGGTTTTCAAAAACATTTCCCCAGATCATGCTGCTTTTCATTAATTTGTATTGGTTGACTGTCAAACCAATATCCACTGATGCAGACATAAGAACAACAAAGGTAGAAATAAATGCAAGAATCTGCCCTGTCAATAAGATTTTAAGCACAGAATTGGAGTATACTGACTATATCCAATTTTTTCCCTTCACAATTTCACTGCCGTATTAGTTATAGCCTCTCCAGGAAAAAAAAGATGTTTGGCAGAAGGGAGAGCTAGCACATGCATCAGATTTGTGAACAGTGCACAGAATGTATGAGACAGCGCTTCAATGATAATATTTGATACTGCAATTAGTTAGAAAAATAAAATGCTATTCATATCAACCATTCTGCAGCTTTCAGAAGACAGTTACAGAAAAAGAGTAACCAAATCTTGTGAGTAATATAACCTTAAAATTTCTTCATCTTCTTTAGGTATAAAATTAAAAAAACTCACCAACCCAAGTGGAAAAAAAAAACATGAAGAAAATTACCACAGCATGTTGAAATTTTAACTGCAACTAGCTATTGTAGTATAGTATAGTATTTATATAAATCAGTAATACACTGTACTATATCATCAGAGTTTAAAGGGTGTTGATGAAACATCTGGGGTTGCTGCCTTTGAGACATGTGGGCTTAGGAACTGCTAGAGCAGTGAGCTACCCAATACTTTTGCTAATAAGATCGCATTTAGTTGACAGAATAGGTTCACATAATACACCATGCCAAATAATGTCTATGACATACTTGTCTTCAGTGGCCTGAGTTTGATAAACAGTAAGAGCTAGTGATGACTATGTTAAATTCACTGATGGCAGTACTTAGAACAGCGCATCAGTCACTAATAGGTAAACATAATACACTCACAGGAACAGCAACTAATTTATATTATTCTTCAGCTGTTGCTTTTATAGTAAAATCTGATCTTTTACATTTCAATTTCTTTGACTGATGGAGGAAGGAAGTCTCTCTTATTCTACACTATGCTTTGTTTTCTTTACTTCTTCATCAGTATCATCTTGCTATAGTTCAGAAGTGGGTGAATAGATATTTTGGAAGCTTATTTTTAGTTAAAATTGTCATATTAACAAAAGCTGCTTGACTTATTTGTAACTAGGGTGTGATCACAGCTCCCAAATATGTGAAAAATACACAGACACTACTGTTTTTCAAATTAAAATTCAAATGTTCACTGTTTCCTGCAGATATAACCTTGACACATAGCCTGATAAAATCTGGTGGCTGCATGACACAGAACAGAACATGTAAGAGGTGGTTATGGAATTAATGCACTATAGGTCTTGGCACACAATCCAAATGGGAGAAAAAACAAACCTCCAAGACTGAGCCTAATGAATAGAATAATTTGTAAAATACAGAATAGAACCTACAGCTCTGCATTGCTCAGGTTTAGTCATAGAACCTCTGTTATGGCCTCAAAGTGCAAAACTTTGTTAAAAAACCTGCTAACTAAAACATGACCTTTAATATTACCTGTATGAGAAGATTCCTTTTCGATATCATTTTCGCCTGGAACAGTAAATTCATGTTGCTCACTACTCTCAGTGGTATTTGCGGGACTTTGTTCTTGACTGATCCATCCAGGATGAACACTGTGTAATAGTGGATGTTGGGTTGGTCCTTCACGTTTTTCATTTTCATTTGTGACTAGTGCTGATAAGATGATGATTGAATCAATAATGATCATAATATCTGACCCCAGACATATTATTTTCATCTTCATTTTTGCAGTCTACACAACAAGGGTTGTTGGGGGTTTTTTGTTGTTTTTTTTTTTTAATTGTTGCATTTAGTGTGAAATGAAAGATACAGCCAAAGCTCCTTTGAAAAGTCTATCGTACAAAAGTATTACTAGGATAAGAAGAAGATACAAGTTTGCTAGAAAATGTCCCGGTTACCAATGGCAGAAAAAGGCTATAGGAGAAGTAGTGGAAGAACACACAGAAACAACAGCTTGCATATCTAATTCATATTTATTATCTTAATTTAGCTGTTTAGACTGTGGCTTCTGGATTTGTAAAAGAAAAAGAGATGATGAACTTTCTCTTGTGAGATAATATCTCTTTGCACAATTACAAGGCTGCTTCCAAGGAAATTGCCATTGCTTCTGGTAACAATCGAATATTTGGTTGGATGAATGAAATAGATTCATATATCAGAAGCTGAAAAGCATGCTTCTTTTGATATTCAGTAATAATTAAAGCTCTCACTGATACAATAAACTCATTGTGCACTGGTTAATTTCCTCTTGTTTTCATACCAGAAGATGCAGTCAGAAATCACTTGAAGTACCACTACCATAAGAGATTTCCTAATGAACATTAAAAAGCTTTGAAAAGATACAACAGGAAAGAAAGAATGCCTATAATACTACAATAAGCATCAGAACTCAATTTAAAAAATATTTGCATTGGGTAGTGAACATTTCCGTGAGTTATAATACTAATGGTAAAATTAAGGTCCTTAATTAGAGGATGCAAAGAATCAGCTGGACCTTTTATATAGGCCATAAGCCACCAGTTAGGGAATCCTACGCTAACTGTTTCCCAAGAAGTACAGAACTGGAGGGGTATTTTTCTTCACATTTCAAACAATGAAATGTTCATAAGGAGGGCACTCACACAAATGCAATTCATTTTTTGTTTAATTAAACCTAACATATACTGATAACCATGTAAAATTTGGTCCTGAACTGTGGAGCTGGTAAGAGTGCATGTAGTTCCTGCTGAGTATTACTCTTCCTGTCTGATGCCAATTGTATAGCACTTCACTGCTCCCAACCATTTCATAACCCAGAAAGAAAGGAATCAAGTTCTTGGAGGCAGACCCCATAAGTCCATGAAGTACCACAGGATCCAGAAAATGTGTTTTCTTTTTTCTTTTTAACAGAAGGATAAGAAAGCTTTGCCTAAATCCCACTGAAATGTATTTCTTTTCACTATAATCTAATTTTATGCAATTTCCAGGCTGTCCTCAAATCTAGATGCACATAGCTGTGCCTCCAACTACTCAGTTTTGCCCCTCTCTTTAAGAGGGTAAAGTGCTGCAATATAGCTAAAATATCCTAAAAACAAAGCTTAAATTCAGCTATGCTTTTAAGAAAATTTTAACTGGAATTTATTTACATACATAGCAAAAATAGCTGGTGAATGCACTGGCCTTTCCTTCAAAGGTTTTTTGGCTTGAGGAACATGAAAACGTTTTCAACATCTCACTGGGATATAAACACTAACACCCGTAGGAAAACGTTCAAATGTTTACATTCATCTGGAGGTAGCATATTATCCTTCGTAGCACAGTTCAGATTGTTATGTTTACTATTCCATTCAAAATGAATGCCAAGCAATAACAGATCTTAGGTTGAGTCTTCTGTGTCTTGAAGACAACAGTTTAACACTTAGATGCATTTCAACTTAACATTTGCCAAATTACTAGTGCCACCATTACCATTAACTTCAGTTTTTGTCTCTATGGTATATTGCGTAAAACCAATTGTATGTATGGTGCAGAAAGGGAGCAAGGTCATCTTTATTGTCTGATAAAGGCCTTATGTCTTAATCATCAAACTACAGTATTCTGCTTATTGGCAGTTGATGTTATAGACTAATTAACTCACAATGAATAAGGCACCAGAAAAAGCATCCTATGTTCTATTAAACATGCCACTCTGAACTCCTAGCGAGCAAGAGCTAGGTAAGTCCTTTAGTGCCCAAACCGCAATAAGAAAGGAGAAGATAAGACAAGACTCACTGAAATAAAGTCATTTTCCTAACTCTAGAAGAAGAAAATAACTTTGGAGAGCTGATAATAATAATATTAACAGTGCTCTCAATTATATAAGGAATAGGAGTCAAATCCAGGAAAAAAAAAGAACCAGCTATGTAAAATCACACCAGAGAAACACAAGCAGCAAAAAAGACTTCACCAGGTAAAGTGTCAAATGAAGGAATTAAAAAAATTCAACAACAACTGTACTTTTTTGTGGTTCTAGATATTTTCTCCTCATTGAGCCTCTGACTGCTTCCTTTCCTACAGTAAAGAATCTACCCAAGTCAATATGAACTTTTTATCTGCAGATTTGCCACCTACCTAATTTTCAAATATTGCCCTGTTTCTGTAAGTAAACCTACAGTTTTGCATGTGTACTAAGCAATGGAAAGAGTAGGAGGTCACTATTCAGTTTTGTCATATCCCTAACTAACAAGACCTTGTTGTTTCAGAGACCTAGTTTAACTGAGAAATTATGATTAATACAACCTTTTATATTTTTGAATCACCAGCTCCCTTTTTTGACCTCAGATTTTACAAAAGATACTTTGTAGTAGAAAAAAAAGGGGATTTTTTTTCCTCACCAAGCTGGGTCACCAACATGTTACATATTGCATTCTGCTTAGTCATACTACGCTACTGAAACGCACGTTTAAAGATCCCAGTGGTATGGGGAAAAGTGGCAAGTAATGAAGGGTACACACAAAAGATAGACTTGGAATGACAGATGAATGTTATAGATGACACCTCTGAGGGCTCCAGCACAACTAATATAAAGGTATTATATTGAACTGAGGCTAATGGTATGGGAAGTACAATCAGTTTCACCGTAAGTGTTGCACTTCACTGAATTACGTCATAAATCTGAATATTATCTGAATTATTTAAATTGCTTTACCCCTGCCAGCAGTGCTAGAATACAGCTCCTCTTCGTCTGTATAGGATGGGTTCCAATGACGTTGTGTGGAGATCTCCTGAAGCATTTCATGTTGAGAGTCCACAGCTGTTAGGACAATGGAGGATTCAACGGTGGGTGGTCATGCTCTACTTCTACTGCTATTACTGCACTGTTAGTGTGTGCCCATACAGACAAAGGATAATAAACATGCATGCCTAGCTTGACCTTAGTCTCACTAATTTTCTTATCAGATCCCTTTACATCCAGTAGAAGAAAAACTCTGTCTGATGCAAAGTTTCCCAAGGATATCAAGGAAAATAAGCAACAGAAGTACAACAGTGTATAGCAAAAGTAGTGCAAAATCATTACAGCTGATACAAAACCCTACAGCTCAAGCTTGGAGAGTAATGCTGGACCTAAAGAATATAGTAGGTGTCTGAGTACATGTAAAACATGCTTGCTAAGTATTCAGTAAGTTCTCAGATTCATGCTAGAATATCCACAACTGAGCTCAAAAGCAATAGTCAGGAAAAATCGGAAAGCACCATGACTGCCACCAAAAAGTTAGTATTAGTCAACAAAGTTATAATATAATTGAACAGATTAAAAAAAACCTTCCACAAGAGTCTCTCATAAGAGACTGCATAGATTTGAACCTGTGGAGCATGCATACACACTCAGGTCATAGAAGGCAGCTGGAATACAATGCACCATGTGGAATAAGTCATCAGTGCAGAGAGTCAAAGCAAAATAAACTAACTTCAGCAAAACCTAAAACTTAGGCAGATATAAATTTGCCTAAGCAGAAATTCTCACACTTTTTTTTTCTCATGAAAATTAAGACCACTGCTGAAAAAAAGCACTGAAATCTTTCCCAAACACTCCACTACATTCAGAAACAAAATACTAAATGTTTATAAACATTCATTTATAAGCACTTCTGTGTGCACAAGTAAAAAGACAAAAGACAATTTAAAGATGTGCTTAAATTAATTTAAATTAAATTACAAGAAGGAATAAACTATCATCTTTGAGCAGATGAGAACTATGGAATATTGTCATCAATAATGACATCTGTAATGCAAAAAAAATCTGAGGGCTGGGGCAATTCCCTGGTTGTGAGGCCAAGAAGCACAGACTGGATGCTTCCATGCCACAAGCACATGGCTTTGAGCCTCATAAGTGGTGGTCTTCTGATTTTGATACAAAAGGATTTTAGGTATAGAAAGTTTTTTTACTCAAAGAGCTATCAGATCATCACTGAGAATTATTCTTATCATGAAAGCTTTGTGTTAAAATCTCTGGACTGTGGATTTGGGTCATGACAAAACATTTGAGGGCACAAAAGAAATGGGATAACATTAGAAGAGTGTATGAAAGAGGGCAAATATGGGACTGCCTTGCCAACAGTTCACACTGGAAGTGGTCCATAGAGTTTGGCTTCCACTGAATTGTGCCTAGATATTTTATTGCACAGGACCAAGAAATTACCTAAGAAAATATATAACAGAATAGTATTCAAGTACTTTGCTTGATAACATTTCGGCAATGGCATAGACGTAGACTATGTGTAACATAGTCTAGCATTATATTAATATTATTTTCCCCAAAATGTAAAATTTAGAAAGCAGAATAGATGGTTATTTCTTGGAAGACCATGGTTAACTTCAAGTATGTAAACAGCTAGGAAACAGTTGTTAATTTTAAACAGTGAGAGAAGATGTTCCTTCTAAGGATAGGGATCTGACAAGATTATTCCCAAATCATGGGAGACCTTTCCGAAGGAACAGCAAATCAGAACAGCCACCACTACTGTTGGGTAAACCGTCTCCTCCGAAGAGTCTTCATCATCTGAACCATTGCCACTTGAAGGCACATCTGCTGTGATGATGTTAAATTGGCCATGAAGCCCTAACCTGCAAGGCTTCCTACTGACAGCATCTGCACTTTCCTGTCTCCCCTACAATGCCTGCAGCCCAAAGTCACA